GTCGATACACCCTTGTAAAAATTACGGATTTTGCGATGAAGGCTATTTTGGCTTCTTGTGCCTCTCTCACAACTATTTCATAGCCGAAGAATCCCCTAAAACCTTATTTTTCACATACTGAGCATGTTAATCATCACCATATCCTCATAAAGTCAATCTCTTATGTTTCTTTTTCGCCCGTATTCTCAAAACGCGGTTTGGTTTTTCTATACCTTTTTGATTAACTCTACCACTTTTTATCCAATCTTCCTGAAATTTTCACAGAATGAAGAGACGACGTAAATACTAAAAAAAATCACATTATTGAATATTTGATATATGGAATAGATTGTTGTTGGTGTCGTCTGGAGTGTGGATTTCTTTTTTTATTTTTTTTTATTTTAAATTTTGGCAAACGACCTCAGGAAAAAAATTCATTAAAAAATTGTCTACCTTGTTTTAGAAAAATTTGACAGACAATTCTATAGATCTATTGTTAGCTAACATGCAAAAAACAATATATTTCCATGAAAAAGTTAGGTACTGACTGTATGAGACATGTCAACAAAATCCAATATGGCCGTCGTGTCCATGGCAACGAAACTTTCTTCACAAATTTGATTGCGGGTTGGAAAACTCCTCACTATGCTTGTTATTAATAAGTGTGAAACTCAGTGAAATTTGATCCGCCAAAAAGCAAGGATGCCCTCAGGTGCAGTCAGCCCCCCCCCCCCCCCCAACCTTGTCTATCTCCGTCGCCCATATGTTTGGGCACACTCCAAGTAAGGTGCTACGCTTCCCTAAATTATAAATCACCGTGATTTCAATATTCCAATCAAACAGTTTAGTCCACCTACCCTTTCTTGTGAGCGTCGGCAAACAAACCTGTAATCTCGGGATTCTGTACGCACAATATCACACAGGTGGCCTGCTCCTGGCAACTGTGAGCGTACCCCACGGCGATCTCTGGGCAAGTGCAGACTAGCGAAGTTACTGTCAGCTCCACTGGACAGTGGTCAGTCTGAGCTGCCCCCACCTCCCAAACACCCAGACCTGTGGATGATGGAAAACTGCAGTGAATTAACATACGATGGGGCAGACTGACGTCAAGGACACACATAGACAACAGCGAAACTGTCCACCCCCGCCCATCGGTCTTCTCACTATCACTGTTGACCATCCACTCTCCCCTTCTTCTTCTTATTCCTCTTTTATCTCTCTCTATCTCTCTCTCTCTCTCTCTCTCTCTCTCTCTCTCCTACTCTCTCTCCCTCCCTACCTATCTCTCTCTCTTTCTCTCTCTCTCACTCTCTCTCTGCTACTTTCTCTCTCTCTCCTACTCTCTCCCCCCTTACCTCTCTCTCTTTCTCTCTTTCTCTCTCTCGCTCTCTCTCTGCTACTCTCTCTCCTACTCTTTCTCCTTCATTCCCTCTCTCTCCTACTCTCTCTCCCTCCCTCCCTCCCTC